TATAAAATAATAATTGAACAGAAACATTCATGTATAAAATAATAATTGAACAGAAACATTCATCTATAAAATAATAATTTAACAGAAACATTCATCTATAAAATAATAATTAACAGAAACATTCATGTATAAAATAATAATTTAACAGAAACATTCATCTATAAAATAATAACTGAACAGAAACATTCAAATATAAAATAATAATTGAACATTATTTATCTGAGGAGCAGCTTTGAGTTTAACTCCATCACTGAACTCTCATCTTGAACAAGCATGAAGGCGACAGTGGAAAGAAAAACTCCCTCATGAGGAAGAAACCTTTAGCAGAACCAGGATCAGGACTAGAGGACCATCTGCTTCGACCAGCTGGTTTGATAGGAATAGATACACAATGGCAGGTCAAGATTCACATGTTCAGATAGAAATAGTATCAAATGAAAACTATTAAAATTTAACAATTCATTTAGTTTTATGAAATAAAAAGCTTCAGATTAATGAACAGTTCTGCTCATCAGGTCCAGTTTAAGGAACCCAATGAGGCTGAAGCTTCAGGTGACCTCTGGGCTGTTTGTGTCAGAACATCAGAACCTGCAGGTGACCACAGAAAACACAAAGTTAATAAACGTCAAACCTCTGATTCAGTTCATAACGTTGAATATTCTTTAACATCAAACACACGTCGTTCTCTTACTAAATTCACTAAATTCAGTTTAATAGAAGTTCATGCACGAAGTTTAGTTTCCCTCTAGTTAATTTTAACCTTATTGCAGCGGTTCCCAGCCCTGTTCCCTGAGGAACACCGTCCTGCATGTTTTAGTCGTTTCCCTGTTTTTGACGCACCTGATTTTAATGGACGTGTTCTGAGGGTTCTGCAGAACTTCATGAAGTAATTAATTCACGGACTCCGGTGTGTTGGAGCAGGGAAACAACAAAAACATGCATGATGGTGTTCCTCAGGGACCAGGGTTGGGGTCAGCTGCTTTACTGCAGCTCCTCAGACTGAAGAAGTCTTTTGGATCAACCCATCCAGAGGACCTGTTAGATTTATCTGCCTGGATCATTGAGCAGCATCAGGATGTCTTTGATGTGAGTTGAGACGATTTGGACCTTCGGTTCTGCAGCAGGAGCTCAGGTTCTCCTCCCTGCAGCGCTGACAGAACTTTAGCTTTAAATCCAGCCTGCTGGTTCTGATTCAAGGCTCTGGATCGGGACAGATGTAGAAGCTGTGAGTTTTTCATCTGTGTGAGGAGAAGCAGTTGATCAGTTTGTGTCTCCTCCTGCTCCTCCTCGTTCCAGATGCGCAGCGGGCCCTGCTCCTGCTGGAGGAGTACCGCAACAAGCTGAACCACACCGAGGACCGGCAGCTCCGCTACTCCGTCCAGAGAGTCATCGACATCTTCCAGAGCAACCTCTTCCAGGCTCTCATAGGTAAGATTCTAGTCCAGCTGAACAGGACCGGCTGCTGGGACCGGATCGCCTCAGAACTGGTCCTACCAGCTGGGCTCTGCTCAGTTCATTGGACCTTCATCCTGGTTTCTGTGGAGCATCAGCTGGCGGTGTCGGGCTCGGTTCGGCCTCCGCACCGGGCCACTAGCTGGTGTTGTGATGTTGGCGTTCCAACAGCACGAGCGCAGACACGTTGCCACGCTGCGTCACAGTGGTATTACACCGTGTTTCGGCTGTTCTGCAACACAGCCGAAAATGATAAAACTTTCAGGAAGTAACCCAACAACTTTCAGTCGGGTCATCTGGACAATTTCTTTTTTTTTTTCTGAAACGTTTCACCTTCCATCCAGAAGGCTTCATCAGTCAAGGAAACGCAACACAAAACTGATTCTTCCACAAAACATCTTAGTCCAAAGTGGAACAAACCAGTTCTGTTGGTGCTAAGATGGTCTCTTTGGCACGCCCCCTCCTCCGGTGCCGATCCTGAAAATTGTTGGATTATATTCCTGGATTATTGAGCATGGACTTTGTTGGTTTCAGGAAGTAGCCGCTGATATTTGACTGGCCAACTTCTGCAGCCAGTCCAGTTCAAGATGGCTGCCACAGCTGTTGAACGAGGCTAAACCTCAGCCAGCTGCCGAGAGAACGAGCTGGAGTTCGGCGTGGTAGTAGCTGAGGGTTGTCCACAACATGAGAGGACTTTACTTTGAAACTCTGGCAGCTGCTCTGCGTTTCTTCAGGGACTCAGGTGTGTGATGCAGCAGCCCGGTCCGAGCAGAACCAGGAGCGCCCGCCTGCAGAGGGGGCTCAGGGAGCAGAGACTGGTCTGGTTCTGTTGGATCTGCTGGTTCCTGACGGCAGCCGTGCACGTGAGAACACACTCCAACCCTCAGAGCTGAGTGAAGGTCCAACTCTTGGTTCTGTGATCCACCGGGCAGCTCAAGACCTGCAGGTTCTGACTCGGGAACAGGAGGACTCGTTTTGACCTGCAGGGTCTCATCGGGTCTTTGTCCAGGAGGATCACGTCCCTGTAGCTGTCTCATCTGGATCCTGTTTCTGGGAGTCCTCCAAGCCAGACTCTGGACTAAAAACTGAACAAAGTCTGACCCGTTTGTCTCCTCAGACAGACTGGACCAGGCCTCAGAGTAGGATTAGTACGGAGGACAGTCTGAGACCGGTCTCTTGGCTCTTTAGTAAACCTGGTCCAGGACCAGAGAGTGTCTCCTTCATCTCAGTCAGTGGAGGAGGTTCCTCTCCTGGATGTGTTCAGACCCGTCCCACAAACCCAGAACTCTGCAGGGATTATGTCTCTTTCTGGTCTGAGACACATCCCCCAGGAGACGCTGAGGACAGGGGGGTCAGGGTTCCTGTCCTGGACCGGACTGGACCACAGATCGGGGGTAGAAGAAGGAGCTCAAAGGAGAGTGTCGGTCCTTCTCCTCCTGAGCTGCAGAGTTTGATCAAATTTATTCAGAACTAGAATTCTTCTCAGCCGTCCCTGAAGCAGACCAGGAACTTCCTGCTGTTCTGGTCCTGGTTCTGTTCTGGTTCTGTTCTGGTTCTGTCCCGTTCAAACGGATGAAGTCTAGTTTCTGCAGCCGTGTCCAATCTGCCCCCCAGGAGGACTGCTGTAATCCCTCTGTGGACACGATGATTGCCCCGGTCCGTAATCCCAGCTGAGCGCTGGTTCTTGTCCGGCCCGTTCTGGCCTGGTTTCTGTCAGACAGCTGTCGAGTCTCTTTATTAAATCAGTTTTTGATCCTGAGCGGTTCTGAAGTCTCGTAGCTGCAGTCTTTATGATTTATGTTGTCTCCGTTTAGTTTTTGTCCATCCAACCAGAGACTGGACCGGGTTTTCCTGTCCAACGTCCCCCGGCTGCTCCCAGACCAGCTGGGAGTTCTGATCCTGTAAAGTCCAGACTCCAAACCCTGACCCAGTCGGCAGGACTCTGTAAACCTTCAAACTGAGGCGGGTCGTCACCGAACCTCCCGAAGGACCAGAACCATCTCGTCTGACCACGTTCAGAGGTCCAAAACGGGTTTTCAACCAGAGACCTTTATTCAGGAGCTGGTTCTAACACGGGGGAGTCCACTGGGTTCTGCAGGCTGGGTTCTGATGACCCCGCCGCAGTCGGACCTCAGGTTCTGGTGACCCCGCCGCAGTCGGACCCCAGGTTCTGAGTTCTGCTGACGAGACTCACATCAAATTTATTGAGAAAGAACATTTTAAAACAGCAGCAGCTGAAAGTTTAACAATAAAAGTCAAAGAGACTAATTTAAAGAATATTTACCGTATTTTACCGGTTCCATTTCACTTGATGTCACACGACCTCGATAAGACTGTGTGTAATAGTTACTGGTAAATAACTAGTTACTGGTAAATAACTAGTTACTGGTAAATAACTAGTTACTGGTAAATAACTTGTTACTGGTAAATAACTAGTTACTGGTAAATAACTAGTTACTGGTAAATAACTAGTTACTGGTAAATAACTAGTTACTGGTAAATAACT